ACATTTCTAATATGATGTTCTCAGATGATGATGATGATGATGGACTGGTTTCTGAGAGCAGATGAATCTCCAGGACTTTACCTCTGTCTGAGAGCTGCTCTTGTCTCTCAGCTGATGGACAGATTCTCTCAGAGCATCAGAAGAGAAGAGAGAACTGAAGAGATTATTATTTACGTCTGTAGATTCAGGAGGTGCTGAGAGAGACTGGAAACTCTACAGAAAACAGAAATCAAAACTCATCAGCTCCACACTTCACCCAATAACCTGCACCAACATCAGATTTGACTTCACTGATCTTTAGTAACTCTCCTCAATCCAGCACTTTCACAGCATCAGCTTCATTCTCCTCATATTCATTATATCACATTAGAGCTACAGATTCTAGTATTCACCACATACACTATAGGTGCTTTCGCACCGGAGAAACCTTTTCATAGTTCCTAGAACTATTGGCGGAAGTTTTTGTTGTGTTCGCACCGCAGGAACTAGGAATGTATTTAGTTCTAGGAGCTCTGTTTGGGCAACTAAATCAGCTCCTACTTCAGAGTAGGGTCTAAAACAGTTCTATAGGAACTACCAGTGATGTAAGTGTACGCTGATTGGACCAACGCACATGAAACACCAGCTACCCAGCATTTTTATAAAGCTGTGTAAAAATATTTCCTTCATGAACATGGAAAACAGCGATAACGGCATTTACCTGTTGTCTGCAGCGTTGTGTTATTTTCTCAGCCTCGATGATATGTAACACTTAGGGGTGCAATGGTACAGTATTCCAAAAATGTTTGGTATGGGTCTTTTGGTTCGGTATGCATGTGTACCAAACAAATCGTTCCATTTTTTCAGGAAATTTACACAATAAATGCTGTTTTGATGCTCTTTGATGTGGCGTGACATATCGCTGACTACAGCAGCACGGAGCACAATTTATTAAATAAATTGGAAGGAAACATGAGGTAAAAGCTGAAATGTTAGTGAAGTTTTGAACTGTTGGTGGTGTTATAGTGATGTTTGGCAACTAAATATATCTTCCAGAAGAAAGAGCTCAGAGAAAGATTGCTAAGAGATTTCCAGAGCTGAAAGCCATTTGTAAGTGGCGTCTCTTTCAGAAGAAGATGATAAGATGAGAGTTTGACTGATGATTATATAATAAGCCAGTAAAAGAAGAACTGATAACTAATGGCTGTAGGTTCAAACTCTAGAAGTGATGATCAGTTACAATACATGAATCATACATGATTTATCATGAAGATTAAGGCTTGTTTCCTACTGCATGCGTAAGTATTATAAAAGTGAAACTGACACATACATAGAGCTTCACACTGACAGTGTTTCTGTGTTCTGTGTAATTAAGCTGTGGCTCTAGACAGAAAATAAAAAGACTACTGGATCACTACACTGAGTAACTAGATGATTAATTTTAAATACCTGTTTCTCTGTCCTCTGGTCTGCAGCTGATACAATGGCGTGGTTTTTATGTTCAACAATCGTACACAGCACACATATACATTTCTGGTCAGTGCGACAGAAAACCTCAAGGAGCTTCTCATGTTTCTGGCAGATCATCTCCTGCAGTCGTCCAGTGGCTTCAGTCACTTTGTGTGGCTTACGTGAATGAAACTCCTCATGCCACTCAAAATGAGTTTGACAGTAAGACTCCAGACACACCAGACAGGACTTGACGGCTTTGTATTTTCTTCCAGTACAGACGTCACACTGCACATCTCCAGCTCCTGCGTCACAGTCAGCAGGAAGTTTTATTTTACAGCTCGAATACAGAGACAAAAACACACAACAGCTCAACTACACTTCAGTTTCTCTTTCCCTGAACTGATGAGTTTAAATACTTTCCTGATTCTGTGTTTGAGTGACGTGTGTAAAACAGGTTTGTCTGTAAGTCTATAAAGCAGGTTCCTCATTCCTGCTCCTGTAGAGCCACATTCCTGCTGAGTTTTGACACACTTGTTTTTAAAGTGAATACATTTACAGTAAATGTAAGGTGCATTTATTTAGAGATCAAACTAATGTAGCCAGTAGTAACTGTAGCAGAATTAATATTACCATAAACTAATCTGTTTGTCCAGTGAACATTCAGTGTAATTTCACATCAACTGATATGAAATGATATTATCATGGCTGTAGAAAATAGCTTCCTTACAGTACTAGTGCATTAGAGTAAAAGGACATTATCCACAAACAGTGACACAATTAGAAACTCATGTAATTTGTGCACGAAAGTTTATTAACTAAATACTAACACATATCTAGTCTAAACAAACAAACAAACATACAATCACATATACACGGGGAGAAGGGCAAAGGAGCCTGAATGAATGAATGAATGAATGAATGAATGAATGAAACCATTAGAGAAACAGGGAATGAAGCTATGAAAAGGAGTCATTTAAAGATGCACTAAGCGAATTTTTGCATAACCCTTCTTTTTAATGTTTTGTTCCTTCCGATATTTAGACATCCACACCCCCTTTCACTGCCCCACCATGGGTACATTGACTGTTGTCCCTTTGAGAGTTTGTGAGACTGGCTAGTGCTGCCCAAGCCGTCTCGCTGGCTCATTCAGACAATCCCAATCATCTACATGATTCAGTTTGCCGGGCTTCCTCCAGGGTTCAGTGGTGCTCTTTTTACCACGGTGGCAAACAAAGACACCTACGTCCTGCATGCAGAGATCGCAGTCCTGCTGGAGAAGGACGAAATAGAGCCTGTCCCTCTAACCAAGATGAAGTCCTGGTTTTACAGTACTTACTTCATTGTACCCAAGAAAAGCGGTGGGTTACGACTGATCTTGGATCTGCAAATCTTGAATCAGGCCCTGCACAAGCTCCCCTTCAAGATATTAATACACATTCACATGCTCACATGCTTAAACTTTCACGTCTTGATTTTACCTCGACACAGACCGTTTCTTCATTTCTTCAAGGGCCAGACATACCAGTACAAGGTCCTCCCCTTCAGGCTGTCCCTGTCTTCCCATGTCTTGACCAAGGTCGCAGAAGGTGTACTTGCTCTGTTACTAGAGGTGGGCATTCTGATTCTCTACAAACTCATGAGATCTGTTGTGCAACCACAGAGACTTGGTGCTCAAGCACCTCCATCTGGGGCTTTGGGTCAACTGGGTAAAAAGCAAGCTCTCCCCTGTGCAGAGCATCTCCTTCTCAGTATGGAGCTGGAATCAGTTATCGCTGAACTGCCTGAATTCATTAAGTAGAAAAACTGCGGTTGCACTGAAGGAATTTCAGAGGCTCGTGTGGTATACGGCATCTGCAGAAGTGATGATGCCACTTGAATGGATGCATATGAGACAGATTCAGGATAGGCTGCACTGCATTGCATGGTGCCGTAGCACAAATCCAGTGACAATTACACTGTTCTGTCGCTGTTCTTTCACTTTGCTTTTCTATGGGCAGGAGTGCCCTTAGAACAAGTGTCGAGGCACATTGTGGGGTGTTGTATGCTCCTGGACAGGACATTGACTGTGATGGCATATCAGTTTTCTTGAATTGCTAGAAGTACTGTTTGTCCTGCTTTGGGCAAGAATGTGCTCGTCCAGACAGACAGCACAGCAAGAAGGTTGAGTACTCCCGTTGCAACTCGCCCACCATCTCCTACTCTGGAGTTAGACATGACCCCAATTGCTGCATGCTGTTCACATCCCGGAGAAGCTCAATAATGCATCTGATGCACTCTCACAACAGCTTACGCTGCCGGGAGAATGGAAAAGCCATCCCCAGGTGGTCCAGTGCATCTGGAGTTGATTCAGGGAAGCCCAGGTAGACCTGTTCACTTACCAGGAATCTTCCCATTGCCAGCTCTTCTATTCCCTGACCGAGGCCCTCATTGGCATGGATGCACTATGGATGCACTGACACACAGCTGGCCCCACTGTCTGTGCAAGTACGCATTCCTCTCAGTAAGCCTGCTTGTACAAATATTGTGCAAGTTCAGGGAGGACGAGGAGCAGGTCTTGATGGTTGTGCCACCCGGACCTGGTTTTCAGACCTGATGCTCCACATGACAGCTCCTACCTTGCAGTTTCCCCCAAGGAAGGAGCTCCTTTCTCAAGAACAGGCACTATATGGTACCCACATCAAGATCTGTGGAACCTCCAGGTGTGGCTCCTGGACGGGACGCTGAAGACTTAAGTGGCCTATTACAGGCAGTAATAGACACTATCACTCAGACCAGAGCCCCCTCTACCAGGCAGGCTTATGAAGGGAAGCTTTAAATCATGACGCCGTGGATAGCAGGTCTCTGGAGAAGCATAATCTGATCATCAGGTTACTGAGAGGTGCTAGGAGGTTAAACCCACCAAGACCCCACCTCTGAGGTTCTTGCTGGGCTACAGAGATCTCCCTTTGAACCGCTTGAGTCAGCTGAGCTTAAGATTCTGTCTTTTAAGACAGCGCTCCTGACATAGCTCACTTCCATCAAGAGGTTGGGGGACCAGAGATATATTAAGTCAACAAAACATGACTAAAACTCGGACCGATTGATTCTCACATGATCCTGAGACCCCAGGCTGGATATGTGCCCAAAGTTTCCATCACTTCCTTGCAGAACCAGGTGATGAACAGACCCAGTCATTGCAAGATTTTTTTTTTTTTTTTACAATCTCTGGGTTGAGCTAGTTTCTTCCTGTGTGTTGGGTGCAAACTAGGGATGTCACGAGAACCGATACTATGGTACCAAGTCGGTATTTACATTTTAAAATCTTGCCGGTACTTGTTTTTCTACAGTAGCGAAAGTACCGATGGTACCGAAGGTAGCGACTAGCGGGGCTGCAGTTCTTCCGGAACTGACGGGGGCAGGCAGAGCATACGCCTGGAAGTGTTTCAGTGGGTCCTTAAAGGGTAAAGGAGGAGGAAAAATGCCTACAAGCACACAGAAGAACTAAAGGTGGAAGACGGCGACGATATATGAATATGATTGTGTGAGATTTAAATGAGGGGAATAATACACAAATTGTTATATTCACTCAGCATTACTTGATCTAATTCACAAATATCTTAATTACAATGTAGTAGAAATTAATTGTATTCAGTTGTGTTTTAGGCACTAAAACAGTCCTTTATAGTCAATCGGCATTTTAGTTGTTTATGAATGGTTTTAAAAAATATTTTCGGCCTGCCAGTATGTCCGTGAATTTTAACTAATGCTTGCATTCAGAGTAGGCTATAGGTGTGTGTGTGTGTGTGCGAGTGCGTGTGTGTATTATTTCAAGGACAAGTGCCACTAATGTTGCGTATTTGTAATGTTAAATAAAGGAGTTGATGTTTAAGTATTATTGCTATTTTTTCCAGTGGTATCGACTTGATATATCGAGTATCATGTACTTTTAGTGGTATTGGTACTGACTACTAGATTTTTAGTATTGTGACATCCCTAGTACAAACAGGTAAAAGGCAGCAGAACTGGCTTTGTGTCTCATTTGAGCCACCATTCCCCCCAAAGAGAGGGACGCAATCACCTTTTCTGCACTTCCAAAGAGTTCCCCAGGTGGTGAAACCTGTCTAGGTGCAGTACTTGAGTTGTATTCCTGTTCGATCAGCCCATGTACTGGGCTAGGTGCCCATACATACATGAGATTCCCTTCAGGTAATCCTGTATGCATATTTTTCCATGGTACAGTTTTCCTAATGGTAAACCTGTGTCTTTTCTTTGACAGAATTCCTTCTGTCCGACCCTGCGTTGGCAGTAGTTCTATCTCTACTGTGAGTTAATCCATATGTGTATTCTCCATGTCACCTCACTGTAGGTAGAATGTGGCTCCGCAACATTCCCAACGTAAAACTACCTCTCACACAATTGTTTATACTGTACAAACTGTATATTCTATCACCCTACACCAACCCTACCCCTCACAGGAAACTTTCTGCATTTTTTACAATAAAAAAAAAAAACTTTGTTTACTTTATTTTTATACCAGTTTTACAAATGAGGACGTCCCCAAAGGGAGGTTTTTGGAGATTTTGTCAAGTTTAGCTCACTTTTGGGTACAAATTTGTCCCCAAAATATGGTTAAGTAGGTACACACACTCACACACACGCACACGCACACGCACACGCACACACACACACACACTCACACGCACTCACGCACACACGCACACTCGCACACTCGCGCACACACGCACACACGCACACACGCACACACACACGCGCACACGC